GATGTGGGAATTGGAACCACTCAAAATAATGAGAAAGCATTTTATTGGTACTTGAAATCGGCCGAAGGCGGAGATACCGATGGGCAAAAAGAGGTTGCAGAGTGTTACCAAAAAGGAATTGGAACCACTCGGGATGAAGTGAAAGCAGATCATTGGTATGAAAAGTTTGGAAAATAGCATTATTTATATGATATTGTTTTTATATACTTTCTATTAAGATTTAGACACAGCATGTTTATTAACTGTTAGTATGTGTAGTATAAAAATAAATTACATTTATTTGCACAACTCAAGAATTATGCTGTATTTATGAAGCAATAAGTACATAAACAAATTAAAATAAGAAAAATTTTTGTCTAAAATGATCCTCGATAAATATGTATACATTGATGGAATTCACGAAGGGCTATTCTATTTTATGCGGAGGGAGTCGTACGCTAATTTCTGAGCAATGGTTAAATTAAAGAAAAGATCCGTTTGAAGTGGCTATCATCGAGATCAATGGCTCAAAAAAAACTAGATTCGAGCTAGGAAGTGTCAAACAAAACATTGGAAAAGTGGTGAGATTAATAACAGAACAAATAGATGAGAAAACCTGCAAAAGTTATATCTGGCGCAAAGAAAAAAAAATTCTAGTCGTGTATAGGTAACATAATAATTATTCGCGCTCAGATTTATAAAACATAGTGCAGTGTTGTGAAAAATTTGATGAATGGTTGCCGTGTCGAATCATTAAAAAAAAAAAAGAAAAGATTCCACGCATCAGGTTTGCGTCGTCTTTTTTGGGGGGGTTTTTTTTTTTTTTTTTTATTTTATCTTTATTTTTTATTTTATCTTTATTTTCTTGTGCTATGTTCGTGGAATGATGATGTTCTCGCTGTTTGCCTGCAACTTCGTTTGACTCGATTTCAAAATTTTCAGGATATTAGATAATTGTTTCCGACATATTGATTGTGTGAATTTGTATTTCATTTTTTCCGTTTTGTACATTCGATCTCAAATATTCACTTCAAAATATTGATTGATAGCATGTAAAAATTATTATCATATTTTTAAGAATTCTTGTTCATCTCAAGTTTTTTTCTTCCGTTCATTTGCTTTAGCAGCCGTTTCTAATTATTTATGTTTATCATTGTCAACCGGATATCATAACTTTGTTTCCCATTTAAGAGACCCGCGAAACTATTTATAAAGTATCAGGATAGTTTTGAATAAAGGCAAACTTTTTAAGATATTTTAAGCCTTCTTTAGAATAATATGCTTCTCTAAGACAAGTGTAAGTGTTCACGGACTGGCCGCGTTCCGCTAATTTTTGGAGTGGCGAGTTATTTAATGGCGCATTTTTAATGTCATCCGACATATAAGATGTTATGGAAGACGAAGCATCGCTTCGAGTTGATATGGCCCTTCCTCTTTCCATCATTTTTTTAATTTGATCTCGTACTTCACCAATTGCTAGGCGTTTCCTGGGGTTTTTGCGCCAGGCTTTCTCAACCAAATCATTATATAGTGATGGCATGTCAACCGAAAACGGACCGGGGCGTTCTCCTTCTATAACCTTTTCAGCAACTTTTATAGGATTATCGATGTCGCCGAACGGAATTTTGTGTGATGAAATCTCCCAGAGAAGGACTGCAAAACTGAAATTAAATTTGTAAAATAATTTTCCGCATGGAATGATATTTCTCGCTATACTATAATTACCTATATACCTCACATTCGTCGGTGTAAGGAGATTTTGGATATTTGAGTTTTTTCTGGTGCTGTCCACCTGATGTTAAAATAAACCAAATTGAGATCGTCTGAAATAATTCATTTTTTATTATCATAAAAAAATATACTCACCTTAAAGTGTCAAGAGGCATTTCGGATGATTGATCTCTAAACGTTCGGCTCATTTCAAAGTTAGTAAGCTTAGCATGTAAATTTTCATCGAGCAATATATTTTTGCTAAATAGAAAAATTTGATTAATATAATCAATTTAAAATTAAATAGAATAGCATAGACCAGTCCAAAATATGTACCTTCTGACATCTCGATGATAAACGCTGGCACTGAAACAAAATTCAAGACCCAAAGCAATTTGGTACGCGATAAGAAGTTTGGTTTTCCATGGAATCGATTTATTGTTAGCTAAATATTCTTTGAGATTTCCATTTTCCATCCATTTAGTGACAACAAAGATGTAATACTTTCCCTCCACTTCTTCTTCGTAAGTACCAATGCTGTAGGTAATTATGTCAATTCAGTGAAACATAAATATGAGAATAAAGTCATTAAAATAATTACAATTTTTCAATATGATCACAGGCACTCAGTAATTTAACGATTTTTGCTTGCTTGACAATTCTCTTTAGTTGTAAATCAGAATTTTCTAGTTTTTTCACTGCGACATCTTCTCCGATGTACTCCTTTTTTCTAATATTTTTGTTTCTGTTTGAATTATTTTCATCATCGTAGTCATCAGAATTCATTATTAAATACGAATTCAATCGAGATTCTTCAATATCCTTTTCTGAAACTTGTTTATTTATATTGTCAAGCACTACGCTCTTATAAAATTTATCCGTAGCCTCCTGCAGTTTTTTAAGCAAGTTTTCACCCTCCATTACCTTCTTAATAAAATTTAATTCTGTCAATTTCTGACGAAATAAAAGGCAATTACAATAATTTTTATATGGAATCTTACTTGTTTTGTATTAATATATTTTATAAATGATCTAGGCTTGGATATTTCCTTTATGTATTTTTCTGTATCTTTTAATATATCTACGTAGGCAATATTTAATTCCTCTTTTGCTTCTTTAATGTCGAAACGCGATGAGGATTCTACTTTAGCAACAAATAGTAAATTTTCTTTTAACTGTTCTAAAATACGCCTACACATCATCTTTTCATCATGGTTGAACTTCTCTGTCAGGTTTACTATCCTCTCGACGATAGCAGCAACTACGCTTCCACCAATCGGTTTGTATGCCCGGGCAAACGTAAATTTTGTGGCAGCCAATAAGTCGCTCTCCATTTACGTAGTTGAAAAAGAATAAAATGTGTACGGGAATGGGCATGCGTCTTTATATGCGGTGCACAATGTGTGACTGATATTACAAAAATGGAAGAATAAAAAACTATTTCATAAAAAAGTAACAATGCAGCATGAGTTAATTTAGTTACAATTATCGTAATAACATCTTATGTATGAAATAAACATGCGGTGAAAATTAGCTTAAAATTTGCCAGTATTTTTAATAAATGCATATTAATTTTGTAAATTCTTATCTAATATTTAAAAATAAGTCACCAAAATAAAATTGTAATTAAATTTTAAGATTATAATCACAATTTTTGTATAGATTTTTATTTTAACAAGTAAACTGGTTTTAAAAATCTGTTTCTTAATAATAATTCTATCTATAGTTAAATTTAAATAAAATTTAATTTAGACTTTTTATTCTATCTATAGTTAAATTTAAATAAAATTTAATTTAGACTTTTTATTAAATATAAGAATTTTATTTAAATTTAATAAAAAAAAATTTTTTTTTTTTTATAATGTAATATTCAAAGCAAAAAATATTTTTAAATAAATTATGAAATTGTTGTTATTATTTTTACTTGTATATAATTTTATTTAATTAAAAACTTTAAGCTTAACGATCTTATCTTATTAATTAAAAACATTCTATTTAGTAATTATAATAATATATTTTCTATTTTTAAAAAATAAATAATATAATAAAGATATATAATATATTGTATTTTTATTTATTTAATAAAAAAATAATTATTTATTTATTGTTATATTAAATTGTTTAAATAAATTTTCAGTAAGCTTTTAAACTAATAAAACGTATTTTATTATGATATAATTTATAAGATTTATAATATATAATAAAACTTTTTGAAATATTATTTATGTGACAAAAATATTAATAATTTTTTAAACAAAAAACAACTTATATAAAATTTTGATAATATAAACAAAAACAATTTATATAAAATTTTAACAATATAAATAAAATATTTTAATTATCTAAATAAAATATCTTAATAATTATATATATAACATTAAATTTTTCAACTTATTTTATTTTTTTATAAACTTATCCTTAAATTATTATTTTCTAATAAACATATATAACATTAAAATATATTATTTTTTATAGAAAAATAAAATTATTTTTGCTAATAACATATATTTTAAAACTAAATAACCATATTAACTATTTATTACATTCTTAAAAAATTAAATTATAAAAGAAATAATTCAAGAAAATCTAGCAATAATTGATTTAAAAAATTATTATATATAAATTAAAAACAATTAATTATTATTTATATTATAATGTGTCAGATATTTAATTATATAACTAGACTAGATATCTTTCTTTTTACAATTTTTACAGTAAATTATTTCCAGTTCAGTGATTAACAAAGAGGTTGAAATTCTATCCTTATGTGAGCTAGTTAATTTTTCTCACATGATCCTTATATGGTATTGAACTCTGGACCTTGTAATTGTAATCTAGAAACATAACTATTATGTTATAAATCTATAGATAAAAAAATAAAAATTTATTTTTAAAAACTCTTATATTTATTATTACTTATAAAAAGCTTTTATTATTTAAATCTTGTTGTGATTAAAAAAACTTAATTTTTTTAATAAAATAATATTTTAACTATTCAAATTTAATGAACCTATAGATCAAAAGTGTAATGATTAGCACTAAAGATGGGTCCTTAAAGGGGGAAGCAGGGATATAAGTCAAATGTTTCTCACTAGGAAACATTAAAATTTTTAAATTATTAACTATAAAAAAACTACCTACAATTGTTTTCTATTATCTAAATTATTGATTTATAACATTTTCTGACTTTTGTCTCTATTAAAGTGATATTTAGATTGTAATCAGGTTATTATTTGAATCAGATAGAATTATCAATGGCACAACTGCATTACCAGAAATGGAATAATAAAAGTAGATTTCAAATTGATAGTATGCCTCTCAGGACCAAATCAAGACTCTTCCAAGAATAGAAATGGCTTAATATAAGAATTCATATGCAAGAACAAGACTCTTCTAGAATAAGCCAATCTTGGTTCTTATGCATATAGCTGTGCCATATTTTATAGACTTGACTATCAGGATGCCTTGGTGTGAGAAAAAATCTGCAGATCACTTTAAAGAATAAAAAAACTAGGATATAGGATATTGAATTCGATGGCCTGATAACTAGAATACTCTTAGAAAAAAATTGTTCTAGAAATAATTAAGACAAAATCACACAGGCTTCTAATTTGTAATTAGGCTGGTAGTGATTGTACATAACATTAGTTTAAATATATTGTCATGGGCTATCCCAGCAAGTCTGTTGCTAATCCGTAGCATCTCGTGTAACCCAGACTTCTCAAGAATATTCACAAATGACACAAAGAAGAGAACACCTCCTATAAAGAACACTTAAGGAAGG